GGGTGGGGGGGCATCAGATCCGAGATAGATTCCGATATTCTTGTATTTGTCGGTCATTCACCATTGTTAGAAGGAGGAATTATCCACCTCATTTAATGTTGGGTGAATCATTCTCCTTATTTACTCTAATGTCTTTTATTGTTATTGAATGATTGATGTTCCTTTTCCATTATTGGCATTGGAACACTAAATGCACATTGCATTTAACTCTTTTTCAACGCTGTTTAAATATTATTCACGTAAATCGATTATAGATATGAAATTATTATTAATTAGGCTTAACCCCTCATCACGTAAAATCAATTAGTCTAACCAAAGGTTTATAATTAGTCGATTATATTTTTTGGTCAAACAATTTGGCGCCGTCTGTAGGGATTTCTTAATTAAAATTTTAGTTTCTTCTAGATCTATAACTAGCAAAAAAAGAGCAAGATCCCCTACTTTCTTGTATACACATACCTAACATGGCAGGTAACAGAGAAGAAAGGATGAAGGCAATGGCCGATCTCACCACCAACCTCTTAAACACCATCAACGAGGTTTCCGAAACGAAGGGTAAAGATATAACGCCAAATGCCTCTCCCAGGCGAAGTGGCTCACCCCTTCCTCATGGTAGTATCATAACGTCCCACGGTAAGGGAGCTTCCATTTCCACAACGGAAGAGGTGCCATCGGCAATAAAGAAACTGCTCGAGGCTTGGTTGACAAATACGTTGACCAGCATCCTCGACAAACCCGCCCAAAAGGCGATCAGAGAAAATGCAAGAACTTGCGTTGCACCAATAACGGTCGAGCAGCACGGCCCTCCCCCTCCCATAACAGGTATCACTCACAATGTTAATAATGCAGATGACGACACCCTCACAGCCATTCTGAGGAAGATGGAAGAAATGAAAAACGAAAACAAAATGCTTCGAGACCAAATGAAAGAGCATCAAGAAAGGGTAGACAAAATACCGGGCGTCCCAAAACTCTTACCAAAAAGAGATGCCGGTCGGTTCGTTGAACAACCGTACAATGATGAAGCCGCCCACATGCTATACCCAAAACTTTCAAAATGTCGCCGTACCTGAAAATATACGACGGTACAACCGATCCTGAGGATCATGCGACTCACTATGTCACCGCAGTAAAAGGCAACGACCTCGCCAAAGAACAAGTATCCTCCATCCTGTTGAAAATTTTTGGCGAAACCCTCACCGGGGGCGCATTAACTTGGTATTCACAGCTGCCCCCGCGCTCCATTGAAACGTTCGAAGAGATGACCGACAAGTTCGTGACAGCCTATGTCGGAGCTAAAAAGGCGGAGGCAAGAGTGAATGATATATTTGCCATCAAACAATCACCTGGAAAAGGACTAAGGGACTTTTTCGCTCGATTCAACCGTGTAAGGATGACCTTACCAAATGTATCAGAAGGCATGACTGTAGAAACTTTCCAAAATAGGTTAAACAAAAGTGGTTCGAGGGCGACTAGGAAGTTGCTGAGTCGGCTCGTGAAATATCCCCCAACCACTTGGGATGAAATATACAATTCTTATTGCGCCAAAGTCCGTGCTAACGAAGACGACCTGAATGGACCAACCCAACGGTTAACCTCAGTACAGGTCGAGCCTAGAAAAGATCGAAGAAACGATACAAGGGATCTAGCAGTTCCACGACCCAACCGAGAAAGGCATCAGCCATATACTAGAGGCGCCATCATGCCGCCCCCGTCTAAACCAAGGATAGGGACTCACCGGAGCGAGAGGGGTATGCCCCATTTACTATCTGCTCACAATTTTTGTGTATCACCTTCAGAAATAGTCTACGCATTGGAGAATCTCGGCCCAAAAGTGAAGTGGCCACAGAAGATGAGGTCCGACCCAAACACCAGAAAGTCGAACGCCTTCTGCGAATTCCACCAGGAACGAGGTCATAAAATTGAGGATTGCATCGCCCTAAGGCAGAAGGTCGTGAACATGCTTCACCAAGGGCACTTGAAAGAGTTGCTGAGCGACCTAGGAAGGTCCAACTTCTCCCGAGGACGTGAACAGCACCAGGGGCCGCCAAAACTACCTTCACGAACTCGCACCATTCAAATGATCATCGGGGGTGGCGATGACGCATCGATCAACAGTTTAAAATTCACCATAACCCGAAAACGCAAACGGTCGATCACTCATGAACGGTACGATGAACTCGAAGAAAGTATCATCTTCGATAAGTCAGACACCCACGGTTTGGTTTTCCCTCACTATGATGTTCTTGTTATCACGTTACGAATATTAGATACAGATGTGAGACGTATTATGGTGGACGATGGGAGCGGCGCGTGCATTATCCACCCTCGAGTGCTTGCACAGATGAAACTCGAGGATAAGATAGTGCAACACTGCATCACACTAATCGGTTTTAACAACGCAGTTGAACGAACATCTAGAGAAATCACACTCACCGTCCTGGCCGGCGGTGTCACTCTGGAAACCACATTCCACATCATGGATCAGGACACGGCGTATAACACCATAATAGGTCGACCTTGGATACACGCCATGAAGGCCATCCCCTCCAGCTTGTACCAGACATGCCAGGTATCCCGAAAGAGGTCATGACGCACAAGTTGAACGTCAACCCAATCTACCCCCGGTAAGGCAAGTTAGGCAAAAATTCAACTCCGCAATAAACGATGCAGTTCGCGAGGAGGTTGAAAAGTTGCTGAAAAACAGCTCTATCAGAGAATCAAAATACCCCCAGTGGGTCGCCAACGTGGTCATAGTAAAAAAGAAAAATGGGAAATGGCGGATGTGGGTAGACTTCACAGATTTGAACAAGGCATGCCCGAAGGACTCATTCTTGTTACCCTATATCGACCAACTCATCAACGTAACAGCCGGGCACGAATTGTTGAGCTTCTTACACGCATACTCAGGTTATAACTAGATCCTCATGGAAGAGGAGGACCAGGAGAAGACCACCTTCATCACCCACCAAGGAACGTATTGCTACAGGGTGATGCCTTTCGTACTGAAAAACGCGGGGGCGACATACCAAAGGTTGGTAACAAGAATGTTCAAGGACCATCTCGGTAAGACCATGGAGGTCTACATAGACGATATGTTTGTCAAGTCCAAAAGGAAATAAGATCACATCGACCACCTGAAAGAGGCCTTCGACATACTCAGGCGATATGGGATGAAACTGAACCCTGAGAAGTGTGCGTTCGCCGTAACCTCAGGAAAGTTCCCGGGCTTCCTGGTATCACAAAGAGGCATCGAGGTCAATCCCGACCAAATCAAGGCCATAGAAGGAATACCAAAACACTTAACCAGTAAAAAACAGGTTCAGAAGCTGACCGGCCGCATCGTCGCCTTGTCGAGATTCATCTCACGATCATCTGATAGATGTCACAAGTTTTTCAGCGTGCTCAAGAAAGACAACGACCTCTTATGGACATCCGAGTGCGTTCAATCCCTGAAGGAGTTAAAAGCCTATCTATCATCGCCGTAGTTGTTTGCCAAAGCAGAACTTGGGGAACGTCTACTCGCCTACCTCGCCGTATCCGAAGTAGCGGTGAGTGCAGTCCTGGCCTTGGCCTTGGTCATAGCTTCACGAAAGCTTAGACCTTACTTTCAGTGCCATCCGATCTCGATAGTCACAACTTTCCCCTTGAGAAGTATCTTGCATAAACCCGAGCTATCGGTAAGGTTAGCTAAGTGGGCCATAGAATTAAGTGAGCATGGTATTACATACCAACCACGGACGACGATAAAATCACAAGTCCTCGTCGACTTTGTCGCCGACTTCAGCGCAATAATAATGCCTGAAGTCGAAGAAGAAGAAGCCCACGCTTCTCCGCAAGCACAAGATCTATGGATTTTGTACACCGACGGTGCTTCCAAAGCATCGGGGTCCGGACTGGGACTTGTGCTCGAAGTCCCTACAAGCGAAGTGATTCGCTAGTCCATAAAATTCCCAGACATGACTAACAATGAGGCCGAGTATGAAGTCGTGATTGCAGGATTAAGGCTAGCACTCAAGTACGGAGCGAGGCAAGTCATCCTACGCTGCGATTCTCAGCTCGTCGTCAACCAAGTCACCAGGACTTTCCAAATCAAAGAACGAAGGTTGCAAAAATATCAGGTCGAAATCCTCAAGATATTGCCCGAGTTTGATGAATGCCAGCTCGACCAAATCCCTCGGGTGCAAAACACTGAAGCCGGTGGCCTCGCCAAATTAGCGGCAACCACTAAAACCATAACCGGAGAAGGAAATGTGGTCACCCTCCTCCACTCATCGATAGATCAAATCGAGGTAAGGACTATAAATCTAACTTGGGATTGGCGCAACCGTATTGTTACATACTTGCAGGATGGCGTACTCCCAGATGATAAAAAAGAAGCTAAGAAACTTCGGATGCAATCAGACAGGTACAACATCATCCAGAACGATCTGTATAAGAGGACGTACGACGGCCCCCTAGCAAAATGCTTGGGCCCGAATCAAACTCGCCGTGTTCTAGAAGAAGTTCACGAAGGCCACTATGGGGCTCATTCTGGCAACCGAGCTTTGGTCAGATGCCTCATACGAGCAGGATACTACTGGCCTACTATGAAAAAAGAGGCCGCAGACTTCATAAAAAGATGCGAGCAATGCCAAATATGCCCCAATGATCCACCAAGCAGGCGACAACTCCACTCGATCACTTCCCCTTAGCCTTTCATCAAATGGGGAATGGACATCGTAGGCCCATTCCTTGCAGGACAAGGTAACATATATTTCCTTTTGGGTTTAACTGACTATTTTTCTAAATGGGTAGAAGTAGGAGCATTCGCTCAGATATGCGACCAGGAAGTGATCACCTTCATATGGAAGAACATTGTGTGCCGCTTCGGCCTCCCCAAAGAGATCAGCTGCGACAGCGGACCCCAATTCACTAGAAAAAAGGTTGTTCGAAAAGTGGCATATCAAAAGAATACTCTCCGCCCCATACCACCCCACGGGCAACGGGCAAACCGAGTCCTCCAATAAATAAATACTGAACAACATTAAGAAAAAGCTCAAGGACGCCAAGGGACTTTGGCCAGAACTACTGCCAGAAGTGCTATGGGCCTACCGCACAATGCCAAAGACGAGCAGAGGAGAAATGCCCTACTCGTTAGTCTATGGGACTGACGCAGTGATACCAGTTGAAGTCGGAGATCCCAGTTTGAGATACTCCCATGAGAGCAGGCCGAGGAAAATCGAAAGTAGAAGGCAAGATCTCGACGAAGCCGAAGAACAGAGAGACATCGCCTACATAAGAATGATCGCCCAAAAACAACATGCAGAACGCTACTACAACAAAAAGGCCAAGATCAGACCACTCAATGTCGGAGACTATGTGCCCAAGGCCAAAACACAAGTCAGCAAAGACCCGCGAGAGGGCAAATTGGGAACAAATTGGGACGGCCCATACAAAATCACAACTGCAGCAAGCAAAGGGTCACTTCAACTAGAAACAATGAAAGGAAAACGGCTACCAAACAACTGGAATGTTGCCCACCTCAAGTACTTCAACTTTTAAGAACAGGCATCCTCTAAGTCATACTTTTTTCCCTCACTTGAGTTTTGTCCCAATTAGGTTTTCTCAAAGAGGTTTTTAACGAGGTGATGAGGGGGACACTTCAAGTCAAAGTACGAACAAGAAAAAGGCATAGTTCATTGCTCAACCTCTCAACATATCTCCAGGTCACCCAATGAAGGGACTAGATAGACTGGGACTAGAATGCCAGCCCGAACAATATGTAAATTTCTCCAAGTATTGAGAAAAATACAAATGTACGTTCGCCAGAACATTTCCTCGTCATATTGCCGGCCTACAGCCGCAATTGAATTAAAAAACATTCGACCTCGTTCGAATTAAAAGACATTCGACATTCGACATCGTTCGAATTAAAAGACATTCAACCTCGTTCGAATTAAAAAACATTCGACCTCGTTCGAATTAAAAGACATTCGACCTCGTTTGAATTAAAAAATATTCGACCTCGTTTGAATTAAAAGACATTCGACCTCGTTCGAATTAAAGGACATTCGACCTCGTTCGAATTAAAAAAAACATTCGACCTCGCTCGAATTAAAAACACTCGACCTCACTCGAATCAAATAACACCTACCTCACTCTAATTCACATTAGGCTTCGTTCAGGTCAACTGCGGCTTATGTTCTAGTATACGGCCCTCGACCATTTTGGGTTTAGGTTACGTTTGATCTCGCTTATACTAACTAAGTCACGTTTCAAATTAACCTACGGCTATGTTTGACTTTGTTCGACAACACTTGTTGGCCCCAGGTCACGACTACCAAGGGCGGCATTTGAACTCATTCAACATACAAATCGAGCTTTTACGGCTAAAAGCAGCCAAACAACAGAATTAAGGAAAGGAGCATACAAGACCAAGCAGAGAAAAGATTCAGAAACGAACAACGAAAATAGCATTTCATACTTCAAAAATATTCTTTACAAGGGCTAAAACAAAATTACAAACCAAAGGAATAACTACTCGCCACCCCCACCCAGCAGCGCTATCTCTACCATCGTCATCGTCATCGCCATCGCCATCGCCATCGCCATTAGGGTACTCGTACCCGTACCAGGCATCCTGCTCAATCCTATACAAATCCTCCTTGCCATCGCCAATCCATGGTGTAGCAGGGTCATAGCCACAGGCGATCCAAGCTGCATGCACCTTAGCACGAGCATCCTCAAAATCATCCTCAGGAACTCTCCCCGCCATCATCAAATCTCTGAATATGTCTAGCTGGGCCTCTGCGTGGATCTACTTCTCATATAAATCCTGTGGAACATCAGGATAAGAAGAAGTGTGGGAGGACGGCTGGGCCAACGACTGCATCTTCTTGGCCTCGAGAGCGACAATTTGGTCACCAAGGTGCGAGACCTCTTTTTCTAGCCCCCCAATTTGCTCGTCAAGCCGCTCTTCCCTGAGCCTGGCCGTCTCTAAATCGTTTGCCCGCACGTACCGGAGGACGCAGATTGCATCCTACAAAGCCTCCAATTTTGCCAAAACCGCCAAACAAGGCAACTCGGCCCTCTCCAAATCCGCCATCTTCTCGGCGACATCGTCACTCAAAGAATCGGCCCTGACCGAACATTGCTTGAGTTCGCCCTGCAGAGATACCACTTGGGCTTGAAGGTCCGCACATTCGGCCTCAATTCCCTTGCTCACTTAGAGATCCTATTCTTTATCCCTCAACGCCACTTCGAGGACGTTGCACTTGCCGATAACTCTCACCAGCTCGTCATCTTTCTGCTTCAGCTCGACCCGGATAGCTTGGAAATTACCACTCTCGCTGAACCGCCTACAAATCTCACGATGCTTGCTGCAGCATTCACGGTACTTCTTCTCCATCCTATTGAAAATAGTTTTATGTATCTCCTCTCGGTGAGCACTCTCAATCTCCAAGATAATGGCCTAAAAAGAGAGAATAAAAAGCGGAAGAAAATCAGCCTATCGAAAATAATGTGCAAGGCATAAAAACTAGAAAGGTCAGAATATTTACCCTAAGGGCGAGATCGGTTATGCTCGATGACAGGGTGGCATCGTTCAGCGACTCGAGGGTCTTGCCCTTCACATAGGAGCAAAGGGGACCCAAGGAAGGGACCACATCTTTAGTGTTCACTAGCAGGTCGCGGTCCATGGGGATAACGATGGTACGAGTGGACCCTTCCAAACTCACTTCCACCGTGAACCCCTCACTCAGCATCCGCACCTCATCAAGGTTAATATCAGAGCCGGTTTCATATCCGTCCTCGGAAATAACTTTGCCTCTCACCTCAGCCGACGAGGGAATGCCAACCGATACTGAGGATGACGGCTCACTCCTCAATACGCTGTCACTGACCTCCACGGACGACCCTCCAATTTCAACCCCAATTTCAGGAAAGGGCGCACCTCCACCACTCCCGTTGATAGCAGAACTCTAGATGACAGATTCGCTTCACTTTCAGGTGCATCAATGGTCGGCTCATAGTCGTCCCTCGTAGAGTCCATTGCTCGGACTGCACCGCCGCCAGCGTCCACCAATCTTTTTTTCGTGGATTCAAATCTTCCCCGCTCGGCGACGACTCATCTACTAAATACAACATAGAAAAGCCAATGTACTAGATGCTGAGGCCGCCGATGGCTGAGCTGATATCGCCAAAGCCGGAGGTCGAACGGAGGCAGATGACCGGGCAGGCTTGGTCGCGGTTGCGGCTAGAACAGATTACGTTGTGGCGGTCGCCTGGCGGAACGCAGGAGTAGGAGATCTCAGATTCCTCGGACCTCCCTGTGCTTACAACAAAAGAGAGAAAAAAGGTCGGGAACAACCCCCGCAAAGATAAAAGATGACCTATCAGAAAAATTCAACGACGAACCCATAAGCAAACTTACCGAGAAGCTTGGACCCGAACTTATTGCGGAAGGCCGACCATTCACGAATCCCCACGGTATGAGGAAGGACTCGGCTAACCCATTCATGAATATCCTCGACCAAAGGAGGGGGTTCAGCCTCCGTTGCGTAAAAATAGAAAAATAAGATACAGTACAACCGAATTCGACCAACACGATGTACAACGGAG